TCTCCAACCGTATCACCGACTCGCCTTGCGTCCTTGTCACTGGACAGTTTGGCTGGTCATCGAACATGGTTTGTGTTTCTTTCAGTTTCAAAATCACTCTTGCTGATCACAGTTGTGTTCACAGGAACGTATCATGAAAGCACAAGCTCTCCGTGATTCGTCGATGTCGTCCTACATGGCATCGAAGAAGACTCTTGAGCTGAATCCACATAATGCCATCATCAAGGAGCTGAAGCGCAAGGTTGCTGAAGATAAGGCTGACAAGTCTGTTCGGGATTTGACCTACCTGCTCTTTGAGACAGCACTCCTCACTTCAGGTTTCTCTCTTGATGATCCGACTTCCTTCGCCAAGCGCATCAACCGGATGATCAGCTTGGGTCTTGATGTTGATGACGATGAGGAGATCGCACCCTCCGCATCTGACGATGCCCCACCACCATTGGAAGCGACATCGACGTCGGCCATGGAAGAAATTGATTAAACTGTATCTGTATTACCGCATTTTCTGCATCCGTCAGCTTCATGGTTATTGCACATATCAAAATCACATCTAGTTTTTGCATGAATAAAAATCACGATTCTTATTCCCATCATACATGATGCGTGCGTAATTGTTTACAATCGGTCCATCTCATAAGTATTATATTATCTAACATTGATATGCAACCTGAGATTCCTGCACATCCTCGTCCTCCCAATCGAGGCAGATCTGGTCGAGTCAACGCGACTTATCTTGAGATCCGGGACATCTTGAGATTGTACACGATTGCTGACTGGGTGGTCATCATTTGTCCCCACATTGACACGCATCCTCATTTGACATGGTACTTAGACAGCGTTCCCACACGAAATGAAATTATACGAGTGCTTGTCGCACCTCAGGGTAATACTGCACAGTCGGAATGTAGTGGAGGCGGCGTTGCATTGTCGCGCTCGGCATTCAGCGGTGCAGGGACGGTGATGTTTTCTTTTCACTCCTTTGTCTACTCCAGCTCGCGGATTTCGCTGTTTCGTGTTGTGTTGGTCGAGGAAACATCCTGCAGATTTTATTACACTCGAAATCTGACTCTTGCGCGTGGCGCGTGTGTGGTGGCCTGTAGGCGAGTCATAATTTCCATTTTTGGCGATCTCAGTGCATTAGCCTTCAGGCAACGTCGTTTTTGCTTCCGCCACTTTCCCCCATTGTTCCTTTCATCTTCGGCGTCCTGCGAATCTAGGACAATAATGATTCACCTTTGCCTCTAACTTTTCAAACATAAAGTCTTGCCGCGTTCACGTTCCATCAATTGTATCATTATTCCCCTTCCATTCAACGACAACCAACGATAAACACAGACGCCCATTGTCCTCACTCTGAACATCGATGCCATCCATTGTTTCACCAGCCCCACGTCGGGCTATTGCGCCTCGTCCTAATCACATTTTGCAACCAACAGTACACTCTCGTCGTTTCCAGCTGATGTCGCCGCCATCTTCTATTGAAGAGCTCCCATTGGTATGTCGCCGTTAATCTAGAAATGGTATCCCCAAGTGATCATTTGTATAGGCTACCGCCCCACGCGTCGCTATTAATCCTCCGCGACTATTATCACCCATTATTCTCAATGATCCCCAGGGCATGCTGGTTGGTTTTTGCTCAGAATATCATACCCAATTTTCCCCTTACTTTCTCCCCCTTTCTATCAGAAAACCAAGTCGCCATCTCCTTGCGGATCGTCGTCGCGACGAAAGGGAACAGCTCGCATTGCACGCGCTCCTAGGCGGCGCCGTCATCCCTCTCGTATCGATTATCCTTTCGATTTTTTTGGGCATCCGTCTGCCTTTGACCAACTCACGTGGATTCCTGCACTTGACTCTCCTCCAAATTTCAATCCATGCGATGTTGCTGATCTATCGCAAATATTCAATAATGATAACCGCGTCATTCCTCTTGATGCAACGCCGGCTTCAGGGCCTGTGCGGCGTCGAAAGGGGTCATTGCGCTCAAATCCCCTCGCATCGGGACCAGAACCTCTATCCAATAATCTTCCTTCTCGGCAGATTTTTCAGTCTCATCAATTTCCTGACCGCACGGTCCCTGCAATCTGTCCACGAACTCCTCCCCCTCTTATCTCATTCGATCCTCACTGCATCAAATTTCACAACCTCATGCCCATTTTTCCATGACGTGTGCTATTCATCATTCGTAGCTATCTATCGGCACTCATCGAACTCATCTCTTCGCAACGTATTGACATCTAATCAGTCGTCTATCGCATCATCTTAAGCTAATCGCGAACTCACATCGCTGTCTTCGACGAACGAAACACAATGTATCTTTCCAACCAATATTTCCAACCATTCACTGCACGATATTAATCATCGATTTGTCACGGACCATGCCTCATAATTTGGATCAGTAATATCTGTTTCCCTTGCACTTGTTCTCGGTATCTATTGCGTCTTCGCATCGTACTATACACCATCAGTTATTATCTCGCCATTTCATTATTGCCTGGTTGTGCCCTTGTTCAAACGCCTCCTGTGCTCCTCTGCCTCGTAATCTCTACGCTTTTTCATGCTGTTGCCCTTATTCCCATTGCCTGTTGTTCATTTCGATCTACCTGCTGCACTACTTTCTTTCCATGTCCTTTTTGATGATTTTTCAATTATCTCTGACTGCGTTGACGCGAGGTCGTCCAACCTGTATACATATAATAACAATGGACACATCTTCTGCCAACCCCAGATACAATGTTATTTGCAAAATGCGATACCATATAAATTCAATCCGATGGTATCATATTATCCGCCAAGCTTCCACCTACCGAGTAGCACAGTTTTAATTGTAAATAAGGCGTCAATACCGTCGCGACCCATATGCATGTGCTTGATAAGGGAATGAGTTTTCAAGTTTTATAGTGATAAAATGACGATTTGACTCAATGAAGTTGTGACTCAGACCGCAGCATTCAAGTTCATCTCCATTACATTTTGATCACTTTGACACCAATTAGCCATTTTATCCCTATCAACCAGATACACTTTGGCATGGCATCCCATGGCAGAGTCATCAATTTTGGTGCTGGACCGTCCGCACTTCCCACGTCGGTCCTCGAGGAAGCTACAAATGGGCTGTTGAACTTCAACGGAACTGGTCTCGGGATAGCTGAGATCTCCCACCGTTCAAAAGAATTTACCAAGTATCTGTCAGAGGTTGAATCATCGATCAGGAAATTGCTGGATGTTCCGACGACTCATCACATTCTGTTCACTCAGGGGGGAGGTTCCGCTCAATTCTCTGCTATTGTGCTCAATCTCCTCGCAAGGCATCGTCTTTTGCATCCGAATCTGACGGATGATGAACGCGTAATGGACTATGTGCTCACCGGTTCTTGGAGCAAGAAGGCTTCTGAAGAAGCAAAACGTCTAGGAGGAGGAAAGGTTAATATCGTGACTGACGCTCGCAAATTCTCCAAAGATCAGAAATCGTTCGATAACATCCCCGCCCATGACTCGTATACCTTCTCATGCGATCCGGCTTTGATTTACTACTGCGAAAACGAGACCGTCGACGGGGTGCAATTCTCGCCTGATGACTCGTCTCCCTCTTCTTTTCCATTTCACCTTCCAAAACAAAGCAGTCTTCTCCCTCTAGTTGGGGATCATTCTTCCTCCTTCATGTCCCGTCCCATCGCGCGCCTGGCAGAGCACGCAGTTATTTATGCTGGTGCACAAAAAAATATCGGACCGGCAGGTCTCACCGTTCTAATCGTTCGACATGATTGCATCGTGGATGTTGATGCCGCCGCAAAGTTAGGCGCAGCTCCTGTTCCTCTCACCATGTCATACAAAACCTTGGCAGATTCGGGAAGCTTATACAACACCCCCCCAGTCCTTCCCATCTACATCACTGGCTTGGTGCTGCAGCATGCTCTCAAACAAGGCGGCCTGGAGCGTTATGCCGCCCTAAACACTCGGAAGGCAGAAAAACTTTATGCCGCAGTGAGAGAGGGCGCTGATAAGGGTGTATTGCAAGCAAAAGTAAAGGAAGGCTCGGGCAGTCAGATGAATATTGTCTTCGATGTTATCAAAGGGGATCTCAGAACATTCGTTGGCGACGCGGAAGCGAGTGGTATGAAAGGGTTAGCAGGTCACAGGTAAAGAAATCGAGTTCTTTTAATTCACTATTTCTGACATGTTCTTTCAGATCCGTTGGAGGTATATCTCTTCTTACTTGACAGAAATCAATGATTCACTATATTTACAGGCGTTAGAATCTCTATCTACAATGCAGTTACAGAGGAAGAAACAGATCGGGTCATCAATTACATCAAATGTTTTGTAGACAAAAACAGTGTCTCCCAGTAACCAATAAATTGCAGCGATTACACGAACGGTTTTGAGCAGCGGTCCGGATAAATCTGTGTCAGTTAGGAAGATGGGGCTCCTGGTCCTGCATTTTAGACAAGTCACTTTGCCGGAGTGGTTAACGGGATCGCCTGCTAACAGCCAAGCGGTTGGGCTCTGCCCGCGAGTGTTCGAATCGCTCAGGTGACGCTTTTTGTTTTTTTTTGATCTTGGGGGGCTGTGATTTAACGATGGTAGTGCCATATCTTGCCGCTTACAGTCACGATGTTCGGATAGTGCTACAGATCTATAACCATTCAAATATTCAATATTCACGAGTTACATTTCCGTTTCTTGATGCAGCTCCCCTAGACCCGTGGCCAATCTTCTCTGAGGCAAACTGTCTATCGATGGCTTGCCTCATAGATCATCAGTCTACATGCACCTCCCTGGGCCCGTTGAACTTCGCCCAACCTACTGGTTTTGATATGTTCGATCTTGCCGTTCACTCCGAGTCGATCCTTGCACAAACCTGCAAATGTTAGCTAGTATAGTTTGGTTCACTACAAGTTCACTAAAATAATAATAATTCGGATGGCTGGAGAATCGATAGAACAATACAATTAAAGTTCCATTTCCCCTTAAGCTATAGTTTGATCCTCATCGATATGTGCCCCATGGCTGAGTTGGTTACAGCGTCCGACTGTTAAGTTCACCCAGAGTGACTGATCATCGGAAGGTCGTGAGTTCGAGCCTCACTGGGGCAGTACCTTTTTTGAATGGTTTCATTTTGCTCGTTGTTTGCACGTTGTTTGTTTTTCTGTCCGTCGAGCTGATTCTCAAGTCAAGCCAACAACCACCAACTCAATGAATGCGCCATACTCGACCTTTGCCACATACCCATCCCGAATTTTCAATCATAGAATACTCCGGTTTTTGCGAGTACAGGGTTGAAAACTGGCGACTAGCCCGTGATGGAAGCGGAAGGATTGTTCATGGGACGGTCATGTGGACATGGGTAGACCCAGTTGTCCCTGTAGTTCTTTCGGTCATTTGGCAGAAGGTATGGCGCAAATTTGGCGTTTGAACAGACTTAAGATGTGCTCTCCAGCTGCGATGGAGTGTCTTAATTGGCATATTTCTCGTTCTTCTGACTGCTGTTTTCATATGGTTTAGATGCAGTCAAGTCCTTCATGGTTCATGTTTTCTTTCTCAGTCAATAGTTTCCATTCTGATTTTTCAACAGAATCTGTGTTGATTTTTCCCCAATATGGGATTCAATTAGAATGCCATCGAGGTTTCCCAACCTTACGTCCGCTTTTCGTGTCCAGGAGATTTATTCATCTTTCTACCCTTCAAGATTTTGTTATTCACGAGGGATTGCGGAGGTGGGACGTACGCTATTTTTTGGCCATATTCAAACGCTCGAGTTCCCGCGATCCTTTGATAGAAGTCGCGTTCGAAGTATGTCCATTTCCACCTTGATATGATGGTCTCATAGTTTATAATACGCAGAACGTTTGGCCCCATTTTGCCGTACTTCTGGAAGTGTATCGTGGTGTGCATGGCAGTATATTTGGTGAAGACATAGATTTCTCCGAGGAACCCGACTGAGCTTAGAACACATTGAACACTTGTCCTACTTCAATATCACATTATATAACATCAACAGTATTTATCCACGAGCTTGCAAAATTTCCATCTAAATCGTTATTGGCTTTTTAATAAAAACAGGGTTCTGCCGGCAGTCACTGTTATTCATTTTCTATTGTCTTCACTTTCATACGCGCTCAATAAATCATCATAACCTTCATCATCACCCTCCTCTGCGGCGCTTTCTCTACGCCGAGGCTCCCTACTGCTAGTAGATACCTTCCTGTTTCGGATAGAATATCCTTCCGTCACCCCTTTGCGGTGTTGGCTATCATTCTCATTGGAGAGTTTTGGTAACCGACTTTCAGTGTCATTAGATGACTTCCGCGAAGGAGGAAAGGTGGGTGAATGAGGAGATTTGGATGACGCAGAAGAAGGATCACTAGAGCCAAAATGTGATGCTCGTGGTGTCGTAGCTATTTCGTATATTTCATCAAGGCCATCATTTGGATTGAGCGTTCTGTGTTCAGCAGCTGCACCTGCCCGAATATTCTCGCGTGTTCGGATGTTTGTCGGACGTGTAACATATTTCTTGGACCGTACACGAGGACCTCGTGAGGATGGTGTTTGTGAAAGCGAAGAGTCTGAGGTGCGATCAGCTTCCTGGGGTGGTGGGGTTTTCTTACGAATCACAATCCGCGATGGAGTAGGCGGTTCTAGGGGAGAATCGCTAAATGATAACGATGAACCATGATGGTGACTGTCATTCACGATGTGCACATCGATTGTACCGGATGAAATGGCAGTAACCGGCGTGTGCGGAATGGCGGGAGAAGATATCGTCGTGGGTGAATCGAATACCTCAATCCCCTGATCGCTCCTTGTTTTTGAAGTATCTTCCGTTGTAGGCAAATTTTGGCCTAACCCATGGCGCCCACCCGCAGATGGACTTCCAATGTCGGGAGAGTTCACTGATGATATGGGGGGCATCCACTGTGGTCGCGGTGATCGGGATAAAGGAGCCATAGGAGACACAGATTTACGGTTGATAGCTACTCGTCTACTTCCACCATCTGAATCGTGATCGGAACGGGAGTTAGTCCTTGACCTTGCATATGGCCTGTTTAATGCTTCCGATGGTGATAATGACGATAGCGATGTCACTGAGGCTTGTCTCAAAGCGTGCCCTTTCGCCAACATGACTTCGGACCACTGGCCTCGTGAGTTTGGGACAGAGTTGTCTAAATGTGCCAGGCGGGGTGACTTCGGTGCAGTAAGCAGAGAATGTGAGTTCAGTAACAATGGACGTGGACCAGATTTAGGTTGTGTTGGTGGGGATGACGACTGATATGACTGGAAAGCGGTGAGTGAAGCCAGAGATGCCTTGGATTTATGAACATATGAACTATCTGGTTCAGAAGACATTTCGAGATTAGTAGGAGCCTCCTGTCTGCGAGGCTGAGGGAGGAAGCTTTCGCGAGGGGACCGGAAGAACGATGGTCGGGGTGGAGGAGAATATGGACTACTTTCCACGTCAGGCAAGGAACCTCTGCGATTAGTACCGCCAGGATGGCTTTCAGAGTCGGGGGGTATCCATCTATTGGTGGCCGGCGGTAGCTCTGAAGTTGTACTAGAAGGTGACAGCATGTCATTTTGCACCAGAGAGGTTCCTTGGCGATTACTCCAAGCGTTGAGAGCTTTCGCTCGCCAATTTGTGCTTACTTTCGTGAAAGTTGCTATTGTATCAGAATCCTTAAACTTTCCCGCATAGCTCCAGAGACCAGGATTTTGAGACGGCGGGGTGGGAATTGTGTTCTCTTCAGGAGGTTCAGGAACCTGCTGTGAAGGAGATAAGGATAATACGGGTGGAGGTGAAGACGATCGCAAAGGAGAAGAGCTTCCAGTGGGTGACGGAGGAACCTCCATGGAACTTTGATTCGTGATCCCTCTCCACATAGTGTTCGTCAGGCGTGATGTTAACCCAGGGGCATCAGGAGTTTCAGTCTCATTTCCGTCATCGGGAGAATCTTCCTCGGATTCTTCATCGCTTTCTTCTGGCGATTCTTCAGCAGTAGTAACTTGATTCGTGAATCCTTTCCACATGGTATTTTTTAGACGGGCACTGAGGCTGAGGTTTTCGCTCTTTTGCGACCTGCTGTGCTGAATACGCCTTTCTGCTAAATCGTTGGCCGTTTGAAGCACGCGTTCAATACCGCCAGCCGAATTGATAGGATAAGACTGTAAAAGTGTCATTCCTTCCAGGAAAGCATCGCTCAGCTCCCACGGGCGGAGCGGCGATGGAGGATGAAATGCAATATGCTCCTCATTCCATAGCCCAGGAGCCTTGTGCTGTGGCTTTCCTAACCTATTTTTTTTTATCAGTATAATACATGAAACCAGCTTTTGTTGAAATAAGGCATACCTAAAGAGCGGCGTTCGAGCACGGATGAGCAGGCTTGTGCAGACATCAACCAAGAATTCCAGCTTAGGGTCTATGTCGCGTGTCCTCATAGGATAAGAGAATAATACGTCCCAAACTGGATAAACAGCACCCAAGGGCAATGTCTGTGTCAATAAAGTTGCGAGCCATCGACTAGAAAAAATTCAGTGTGAAGAATTTGAATGTGGGCACTGCCTTACTATGAATAGTGCGGAAGAGCAGGGTCAAGACCTTTTATATGCTACGAAAGTTTTTGAGGAAGAAATGGGTGCCAATTGTAAGTCAGTTAGGATGTATGCATATAGATAAATACTGACCAGGCTTTCTGAAAGTTCAGGGTCTACTGATAATAACCTTTGGCCAAATTTCTTCATCCACACTTTGCCGCCTCCTTCGTCTTCCAGCTCTGAGAACTCACCAATGATCGCTTCGAATAGCCAAAAAGTATCTGCTTCTGCATGGGCGACATCTTGTGGTTCAACCTCCTTCGTAACCGCGCAATATAAGGGCACGAGCAAAGACGGAAGGTGTGGTGATTGGTTTGCTGGATTTAAGCTGGAATGTAGGTATAGGAGACGTAAAAGTGAAGACAAGTGTTTGGGATGTGCATTCGATTGAGTGAGTAGGTTTGAATGTAAGAGTGTTGTTGGTGCGTTGGGTTTAAATGAGGCAATAGAGTCTACGGATGAAGCAGGAGTTGATTGATCAAAGTGGGGATTATCGATCTCGAGACGAATTTCTGGAATTCCTACAGGTTTCAACACGGAAGTATTAAGACCACGAATTTCTTGCAACCTTGAGTCCAATGCTTTTGAACAGTTAATCATGTCGTTTTGATCGGCAGAGTCGTCCAACGGGCAAGGATGTGAGCGGTCTGGTTCACTCTCCAGTCCGCAGAACAGTTCTACAGGTAAACGAGACAAAGATTCGGATATGTTTAATATAGTTGCATCGGAGAGTGTTAAATGTGTCGATGGGGGTGCAGAATCGGAAACTGGTGATAGGATGCGCGTAACCAATTCCTATTAACTGGATTAGTGATTGTCCTTGCAGCCTCATGTCACCTACATAGTAGTTGTTCCTTTGTTTCTCAGTTTCTTTCACCCATGTTGATTTTAGAACAGGAAGTGTGCCAAAGAATAACCTAAACAAAAAACAATTAGTCGAAATAACACTCAAGGAAATCATTACTTACCTCCATATTCGCGGACGTAACCATGGAGGATCATCAGGAATGCCTGTGAGTTTCGAAGTGATAAAAATTTAAATATCCGTTGTTCAAGAGGCTTACCTTGAGAGCATAGTTTACGCAAGCGTGGCAGGTCTACGATGGGCGATGATTGACTGCCTAGAATTTCAGATATCGAGTGAAGACTAACATAGATTGGTTAGCCGGTTTGAAGGTAGAACAGTGAAGTATTTACATGTCTTCCCGTCGAGGTTCTGGACTCCATCTGATTCCATATGCTTTGGCAATATCATACAGACAGTCATTTATCCGTGCTACGGAGGGCAATGGGATTGAGACCATTTGAATAATCTACGATGCATAAATAATAAGTTGCCAAACGTTATATCTGACACTTACTTTTGGAGAAACGAGAGTATTATGAGGGTCAGAAGTTATACGAGCGAATTCCGGGCCCATGCGCTGGATAAGCATCTCACGAACCACGTTGAGTTCTGCAGAATGAGATGTTTAAGAAAGGGACGCAAAAATGAGTTTACTCCCTT